GAAGTCCGCCAATCCGCAGTGGTGCCGCGTGGTGCACTATACCCTGATACCCTCTGTATAGAGGAGGCCTTTGCCCAGCAGTGGGACATATATAGGCTGTTACTTTACTTTACTTGTTAATTCATTCGCAGCCAAACACGAGACTCGATAGATCAACTGAGGGCCGCTTCTGTGCGATCCTGAAGCATTGTGCTCTTTTTAATAACGCCAGTCGTTCATTACCTTTTTCCACATCTTATTATTTTCTGTTAAACATTTTAAATGCAGGGCAACACAAAGCGCGGGCTCGGAGCCTACGGCCATTTACATTTCCAGGCTCATTAGTTATAAAACGTTTACTCAGAAAATGAGAATTCTAATTTTAATTCATCAAAATAATAATTATGGAGAGAACATTAAGGAATTTGAAGCTTTGTTGAAGACGTTGTTTGACTTAGTGTGAAATTTTTATTCTCCGCTTATAGTAGCGGAGAATAAAAAATTCATACTACTTTTTAACATATATTTTACTTCGTGGAAGTCTGGCTTATGACTCAAACAGACTGAAATGATGATGACGAAAACATAAACGAAAACATTTAACGATTATTCGTCTTGGGTACAATTTTTTTTGTAATTTATATGAGGCAAGCCAATAAGGAAATGCAGACGTCAAAAAAATTGTAACAAGTGTTAAGAAAATGGTCGGGGTAGCCGAAAGAAATAACAGTTCTGTAGTTAGTTTTTTATAAAAGCAAACGACTTTAAATATCACACTATAGATACTGTACAAAATAATATATTTCATAATTTGATTCACAATTGTCAATAAGTATAAAAAAATTTCAAATAAACTTCATTTTATTAGACATAATCGTAAATCGAGTCGAAAGAAAGAGTGCTGTTTCAAGGAAATCCCACGTAGCGCCTATTATCTCGAAGCGGGTGTCGTAGAGTCGCGTAGAGCTCGTAGCACTAAGAGCGCTACGTGACTAGCGCGTGACGTGACGCGACGACGAGGCTCGGATCGTTTATCTACATGCATGTTTTTAGCGATGCGACATGATTCTCTTCTTTTCGTATCGCTTCTCGCCCGATGTCGGACTAAAGAATAAAATGCGTACTTTAGGTAGATTTAATCTTGTAAATATTACATAAATAAATATAATATTTAAAATGTGTTCAAACTGCTCTAGTGACAACATTTTTAAATCTGTTTTATCGTTTGCAAGTTCTTATCTTTGAGTTCAGAACAAAGACGACGAAATTTTAATTATAAATATTCGATATAGTAATCTGTCGAGTCAATGATCAGTATTATTATTTTTCCATTTGCAAAATACATTATTTTACAATTCCATCCTAATCATTAAAAGTTCGACACGTTGAATAAAAATGTTACCACCATACCTTAAAAAGGTAGCGTTCAATAATGTGTAATGCATTCGGACGTATGTATGAGACATGTATAAGATATAATAATAAAAAAAATCCTTACTACATGAATAAACTGACGGACCGAAGTTTGGTTTCAGCCAGTTTAGGCCAAAACATGAAGTTCGGGCCTAAGCCTTGGTTTCGGCCGCAAATTGGCTGAAATATTCAGCCACACTAAAAACGCAGTGTCATATGTATTATTGCAAATTATCTTTGTTGAGTCTGAGACAGACAACATAAAATTTTCGATATGTTTAAGTAAGATTAGGTTTCAGTTTCCGGACAATTGCCGGAACTGAACACAAAGCCGAAAATTCTGTTTCGGTAGGACAGTTGTAAATATTTATTATTGTTATAAAATATAGTCGAAACAGCTGTGAAACTCAAACGCGGAAATTTACATAAAAACGTTTTGGGTCAATTAAAATCTTTTTTTAGTGTTCACACTCCATATATTTCCTTGTGCTCGGCGCGGCGTCTCCTCCACCAAGTTCGTGAACTATTGCGGGCGAGCGTTGGCGAGAATCGTCGTTTAGCTGACGACGCGACGCCGCGTGCGATTTTATGCGACATATCCAGGGCAACGACTACATCAAGTCGCGCCCCGCCTCGCACATTAAAACTTCCCGTATGGGGTTCCGTGGTGCTTTTTGATGGAAATGTAAGTTATGCTTTTTAAAAAAAAACTGCGCGCACTCTATTAATATTACGTCGCTGTTGGTTTCACATGAGGTACAGGCAGACTCGGAATTAAAACACGAGAAGTTAAAGTGATTAATTTAAGAAAATTATTTCTTCAAAAGTTTCGACGACGCAAGCAAACAATTTTTATGTTTGCCAATGACAATGGGTGGGGTTTATCGCTTAACATCAGGTGAGCCACCAGCTCACTTGCCACCTTCTCTCATAAAAGGAATGCCCATTCACGAAGGACGGATGTTCACATAACACTAAACGTTCGCAAAACGAATTCTCGAGGAACCCCAAGGACGGCGAACTATATAGCATTGATTGTTCCGTTCGAAAAGTTCACCAAAACCGTGCACGCGACGTGCCAGAGTGCGCCATCGACAAATCAAAACTTGTATCCTACGTTTGAGAACTGTATTAAGGTTGAGGCACGAAAGTAGCAGTAAACTTGATCAAAATGAATTATAATTTTTGGTATGAAAAAAAGTTAACCGTCTTATTGAGTAAGAATATCCTTCGTTTTTCAGGCGCTTTATGCAGACAAATTTATCTATTACTCGCAGACCGGGCACACGTTGACCTGTACACACGACTTAAATCCGATAACCTTAAAATTGTGAATCTAAACCATTCTCGAATCCAAGATACACAACTAATATATTCGTTTTAAACCATTTTAAGTTTTCCTATTCACGTGAAATAACACGCCCACTCTTTAACATTGTAGATAGTCGAATTTAGATAGTTTGTTTTAACAAAATTAATCAAAAACCTGAATCTCACTATGCCACAGATAGCTGGTACACTGTACATTGAAAGAGCACAACCTAGAAATTGATACGATCTTATCTCGTAAAAAAGCTGGTCAGTATATATTAGTGCTCATATTATTTGACAAAAGAACACCTATTCATAAATACAGGGAATAAAAGTTATATCCAGAAAGCGTAATGAAAGCGTCAGTTCTCAACAGACACGCACGGGAGTAATTAAATCCAATTCCATATCGAACTAGAAATCGATTAGCTATGCAACTCCAGCGGCCTATCTCGAGTGACATCTACATAATTATACGGTAAGCTTACACCGCGATGACCGCCGACGACGATGGGAACAGATTGCATCGCCACAACATAGACTCGGGCGTAAGGATTCATCGGACACATCATCTTACGTAAACTGGGCGTCAAAAAGAACTCTAGCCCAAAGGCATACGCTCGTAAATCAACTGACACGCCGAACGACATCCGAAACCGCACGGATTCCTTGAGAGAGAAATTTCATGCGAGTTGAAATGCCCCTTGCATCGTTTAATGTGCTCAATTATTGTTAATGTTCGACATTAATTATCAGTTGTCTAACTAATGCGCATTTAAAATGCACGCTGCGACTCCGGTGTTAAATTACATGAGTATTAATGGCGCGCGAGGACAGCACAACGCCTTACGATTCGGTCAGCCATCTCCATCGGACAAACCGTAAAAATTTAAAACTTCTCGACCAGTGCATTACTGCTTTAGCGAGGGAATTCTCCGGTATAGTAAAAATTATGCATGCATAATAATAATAAATAAAGGTTTATTTAAACTAAAATTATTCAAATTTTATAAGCGTTTGCTTAGAGAACCCTGCACTAGGATAGCGACCTGTCTCGCAAAGGTCTTGGATCATTAAAATAAGGTAAGTAATAAATACAATGACAATAGAAGTGTATGTGTCACTACATAGTATAAAACAAAGTCGTTCCGCTGTCTGTCTGTCCCTATGTATGCTTTGCTAAGATCTTTACAACTACGCAACGGATTTCGATGCGGATTTTTTAATAGGTAGAGTGATTTAAGAGGAAGGTTTATATGTATAATACATTGCACCCATGCGAAGCCGGGGCGCGTCGCTAGTGTATTTATTGTGTTGGTAATAATGTATTATTAGCCTAGTGAAGATAATAAAAGTGAGTCATTTTGCTGATACTAATAAGTCTTGTGTCTGCTAGTAATTCAATCGCAGTAAATATCCATGTACCTAGTATGGTTTCTACTGCACATACATTAAATTTTATGCTCCGGTAATAGAATTAGAGTTAAATACGATGGACCAAACGATAATTAAACGGCTCGGGCGCCTACATCCCACCAATTAGGCCGCGACGGTTTTAGGCGCGGCCGCAGTCGAAGCCGACAAATGATTCTGTGACACACTATCCGTTAATTGATTGTTGTTCGCTTTCGGGTGGAATATAAAATACGTGCAACGGGAATAGATGGAAAAACATCGACGTAACAGTCAGGTACTTGAACAATTTCACTTCGACTGAAAGCGAAATTATCAAACGACAAAATAGAAGCTGTAGAGTGAATGATATAGGGCTAAATATAATGTAAGCTGAATGTGTGCTGAATTATCACGTGCTCAGCGGTGAAGGAAAACATCGCGAGGAAATGCATATTTTCGAAATAATAACAAAAAAAATATTTTGAAGATATGTAAAGTCTGCTCATCCGCCGCAGTGGGGCCGCGTGGTGGACTATGCCCTGATACCCTCTGTACAGAGGAGGCCTATGCCCAGCAGTGGGACATGTATAGGCTGATACTTTACTTACTATACTTTTACAATGTATATGAATGAATTTTTGAGAAGTGCCCAAATTTACACAGGAGGTTCAGACTCGGTAGTATAATCGTTTATTGAAATAGAAAACAAAGTTTTTTTTTTCCAAAAAAAAATGTCATTCTATTCCCTAAAAAACAGAACGTGTTGACAATGCGGTAGCCATTCATAAATACCTAAATTTTACTGACGAAAGTCAGTACAAATTTTCGATACTAATATCTCAAAAAATATTCCGCCGCTGCCTCCTGTGAAACGGGCCAAGCGCTAAGATAGCGTAGGACAGATGGCGTGCCGAGAAATAGTACGTATATATCGCGGTCCTACGTGATCATACCGCTGTTATTGAGCAACGTAAACAATAATAGAGTCTGTATTTCGTTCTGAAAGAGTGCCGGGTGTTTCTGTTCTTGGGTAGTGTAACAGTCGGTGGAGTTGATAGTTGACTCTCAAACGTATTAAGGCTTAAACGTTACGCGCGTTTACTTTTTACCAATTTTTATAATAAAAATACTCCATAACGTTACTTCATTAATGCATTAATGGATAACAATTATCAATTCGGTATCTTATTATTTACTATTAGGTCTCTCTTGAAGAATTATAATTGGTTCAAGGCTTCATTACATCAATAGGCTTTTTAACAACAAAAAATAATTGAAATATGTAGAAAAAGTACGAAAAGATTGTCGCCGCCGTGGGTATCGAACCCACGTCTTCGGCATTCGCGGCCTGACGCTCTAGCCACTGAGCTAAACGGCTGATATAAAAAATAATGTTTAGAGTGGACGGTAATTTTTAAATAATTGAAGCTCATTACTCAATTTAATTTATCCAAGTGCAACCAAGTAACTTAAGATCCATTAAAATTTTACGGTCGAGAAATATGAAAAAATCTAACGTTCTGTTTGTTTTTTAATAAGGCCTGAGCGTAATATGTCGATTTCGGCCTCAGTAATAGCTATTACTCCACAGAGTCGCCGGGACGAAATTATCTCGTAATGTTCGTGTTTCATACTTACGTTACGACAATAAAATATGGTTTTAGGTAGGTTTTAAGGTGGGGCCACAGCCTCCGCTGTTCCAAGGATGGGCGTGCTTGTCCAAAGTCATGGCCTCACAGAAGACCAGCGTGAAATAGAAGTGTAATCTTTTTTCTTACATTTGGCATTTCGTCCGGGACGGGTCACGGTTCCCTTACCCACGACTGTTTGTAAAGAAACAGATAAAATTGGCCAAGAAATTTACAATCCTTCAGCTTGCTCGCTTGCCAAATTTTCACATAACAAAAAAAAATACTGAGGATCCCAAATATTTTCCACGAATGATTCGATGAGAAATATTAAATGACCGCAGTCGTTAGAACTTTTATAACCAGTCAATGTAAAGGGCTATTTTTACAACTACCTTTTCCCTACCATGCCAAAATCCCATATCAGCCTTTTTTTTGTACTAATATCATCCTTAGGCGCTCCTGCCAGTCTATCACGAACCACTCTATACACGCGCGATAACGACTGGCCAATTTTCAAAAGGTTGTCAACGCATCTGAAATATATTCACTATCAGGTGAACCGTCTGCTCGATTGGCAACTTTTCACAAAAAAAAAATAAAATTAAAGGATCCCTTATAATATTTTTATAATTATAAACAGTTATTTTACAGTTTATAATAAATAATCTTTTTTAAAAACGGGTTTCAAGTTTGTAACAGAACGTACCAGACGGATAAAGAAAATAGATTACATGCAGTAGTTTTAGAAATAAATACTGAATTATCCACTAGATCAGACTCACTTGAAATTAATCCCTTTAACTTTTGAACAAATTTAGTCAACTATGCTGCTTGGAGGGGTCATGTCGATCGATTTTTCATTATCTAAACTTTATAACGCGCATTCACCGACCCTCGTTAATAAAGTTTCAAAATAACAGTAAAGGTGACTTAGTTGTGTACATTGTCATTTACACAACTAAGACCAGACTACGATCAGTGGTTCGCTTGATATCATTTTTCAAATGTAATGTAAATGTAAACAAATAATATTACAACAATTCTTGTTTTTACGCGAATATCGTTCACGGTTAAATGCAACTATTTTACGAATTTTATCGCGTTTTAATTTGACAACATACAGACAGACTGTCCCGTTACCATGAACTCTGGAAAGGGTTCGAAGCGTCGAGAATTTAGAGTCAAATAGAAACACTTTAAAAAAACAATAAAACAAACGACACAATAAAAATTTTTAAGCACGTCTATTTTTGTATAAACAAGATACACTTGAAAATCTTAATCAATTCTGGCATGTAACGACATTTAAGTAAGAATTTGTGCTTTTTTTATTATAAGTGAGTAGCGACTTATTCTTCTACCTTTCTTCCGTGCCTTAGGTTGAGTCGGCGCAACATCAAATCAACTTGGGAACAAACATCCGGAACAAATATCTGTAGGTAACACAAGTAGTTGTCCCGTGTGGATATCGAACCCACGAACTTCGGCGCGAAACCAATAGCTTAGCAAATAACCGAGTCATTTCCAACACCTAAAACGGTCGCGTAAACCTTACTGCTTTTGGGATGATGACACATTTATAATTTTTCCTTTAGTATTCCGCATTTATTACAAAACGATATACTGTTTCTTATAATACTATAAAGTCCGTTAAATAATGTTTTATTGTCTTTCTAGTATCCAATGTTTCTTGTACATCCAAAATACTATTCAACCGAGTACAACTACATTCCACAGAGTACCCGCGCTCCCCTTAAGGCATTAGAATAACTCTTCACAACGTAAAAGGGATAATTTAAAGCAATCCGATGCTCCCTTCTCAACCCTTCCGTATTCAATTAGGGGCCGGTGCCCTTCTGCGGGGCGGACGCGTCGGCGCTGCGGCCCTTGCGAATTCATGAGCAATTAGCAGCAGTTCCAACGAGCTCTGCTAACGAGCAAACGGTAGAAAAACTGGAATGGAGGCGGGCGCTGGTGGGATCGTTTGTTTTACGAACTGCATGGCTGCAGAGATGTCGTGGCGCATTGTTCGCGCGATCGAATTCATCGCCCTTGGCAGTCGCAGTTCGAATTCCGCTGCACGTACTTTAAGATTGATAGCTGCCCTGTTTGTTGGCGATTTAAGAGAACTGCTCGTAAGTTAAAGATGATGAAGGTGGGTAAAGCTCTAAGTTAAGTTATTTAATTAATGTACGAACAAACACACACACAAAAGCAACCTTAAAACACTAAGCTATCATAGTAGATTCCATACCTCATAAGTATAAAGAATAACTTGAAACTTCCCCAGTGCGGTAAGCAATACTACGAAGTAAAAGTATTTGTACATTCCAACGATGATTCACTGAAGAATCATCGTTACACGAGTTGTTCCTACAGTTTTATTTTGTGTGGTAGGGCTACGCCATCAGCTATTGTACGAACGGGCAGGCTCGGCAGGGAAGAACCACAGCATCACAAAAGACCGGCGCGAAGTGGAAGTATAACACTTTTGCGTTTCGTCTGGTTAGTCAAGTTACAAGACCTACATATTATTAAGGCTGTCAACGCATGTGCAAGCTCTGGGCAGTAATCACTTAACATCAAGTGAACCGCCCGCTCGCTTGACAACTTTTCTCATTAAAACAGTTTCTAGTTTAACATTCCGTGTGAACACTCACCGTTAGGACTCTTCACGGTTATCAGTTACCGAGTATTCCTAATCTCGAGGATCTTACGATCGTAACGCGTGACGGACGAACCCATAAAGCGCACTTCGCCGCTTGTGTCCCGGCACCGCGTTAACCCGTCGGCTTAATTAAGATTGCGACTCGCCTTTCGTGACGCTGGGCCGGTCCAATCCCGCGAGATAAACATTTACGATGTTAATTAAAAACCTGTATCGTAATGACTCGGCACCAGTACGCGACTGTTAGGCTCAGCTGCCGTGCTGTAGGATTCGTTGCTCCGGATCGTGGGTTCAAATCTCGGAACAAGTGTTGTTTCTTATTGATTTCTTGTATTTAGCATGAACGCTGTAAAGGGTTCGAAAAATCGGGAGTCAAAAATAAACGCGATAAATCCGTAAACATAGTTTCATTTAGTAAAGTCTTCGTTCTACTACCGTTATCCCACCTATATGGGGCATAAATTTTGCATAGGGTTTGTTAGGCTAGGCTTTTTATGCCTTCCTGACGTGAACAATTATCCGTTAGTTACACGAATGCTCGTCCTGTTTAGGAATCGAGCCCACGAATCCCAGCAATGGTTAAGCAACTTCGCCACCGAGCACCGCCACTTTCGATCAGATATTTGTATATAACCAGATTCAGCCTTTGTCTTTGTGTGCTATATGACGCATTAACAAATGTCAGATCTTATTTCGCACTATCGGAATAACAACCGCTGCCATAGTGTGACCCCGCCTAACGACTAAACTGAGGAATGATATGAATTCCGTGGAAAACTCATATCAAATCAAGCTAACCGGTAACTTGGTTCTCGGGGATGAATTCAGATTGAATTTTATTGAATATGGGCCCAACAGCCTTCACAATATAATTTCTTTTTGTATAAATTGTAACAGGGTTTTTTGTCTTAACGCTTTTCCCTTTTTTACAGATCTTATATAATTTATTTTTCATCTCGGAATTTATAACATTTTCAGCGCCCGCTATTACGGAACACGTGCAGGCGTTTAATTATTAAAAATTATAAAGAAATAATTTAACAATAATAACAAATTAAATTGTATGAACTTCGAATGTTTCAGAACACAGACGCGCTTTGAGTAATCAAATGCTGGAATTTTAACCGTGTTCACGGCTATCAGTCCAATTAGATCATCAGATGATAACAGTTTGAGATAAAATGTGATTTATCTCCGAACCAAAGACCGGTTCAACTGCATTTCCCAGTAAAGAATATCCGTGTGAAAAAGCAACTGATAATGTTTACGACCGTGTAACGACCGCCTCGCCAACTATCACGTAGCTCTTAATGGCTCTTTTAAGAACTGATTCAAATAAGTTTACCCACCAAATTCGCTGTAACGGTTCGTGAGTGTAACCGATATGCGCTTAGTTACTAAAGGTAGAAAGGGGTCACTTGGACGTCGTTTTACTACATACATACACGTTATTCAATTGTTTTCATTCCTTTCTTCGTTTTATTAAGGTATTTTGTTACTTGTGGTAAGTAGTTAATAATTTGCTTGGCGATAGACTGGCACTGTGGGCCACGGTTCGATGGCACCATGGACAAGTATTTGCTTAACAGCCTTCATTGTTGCCTTCATCCGATGAGATAACCGCCACCGATTACCTTTTGCAACACCCGTAAGGTGACAGACGCGTTGCCATTATTTGATCAAGTGCACCCCGATTACCCCACCCACCAGACGAAACGGGGAAGTGTAAAACTTCCACTTCACGCCGGTCTTCTGTGAGGTCGTGGCACTCCCCTGGATGGAACCCCACGATGCTCATGCAACAGCGAAGATGTTGCGTGGCCCTACCACAGCGGACAACTCAGTTGCAACTAAGGGTCGAAGTTTCTTTCGACGTTGTTTAAAATACAGAGAGCTTTAGGGATTTCTTTTAGGTTACTCTTGAAATAGTTCTTCGACTATGTAGGTCTCTTAGTCGAGGAAAACACTTAACGAGACTTTGCACCGCACTCCCAGCATTGGCCATTATATTCTCCTAGGTATCGATAATAGTAAAAACGTCCGCTTTTACTGGCATTGTTATTAGAAATGCCATAACACGTGATCCGACGGGCCACGGTACGTGATCGGGTTGCCAAGTGTAAGAACTATCCCAGGGAGGGGCATAAGCTATTTTACCTCGCAATAACAAAGCGCCAGTTCATAGAGATTCTGAACGGAATAACAATTTACTGAATTCCCTTATATATGTTAGAAGCGAACAGGCGTTTCGCCCATGGACATTGCGTTGCTCACCTTTTATTAATAAATTACATATTTTGTCCATTAATTTATGTAACATGCATTAATTTTACACAAGCTTTCACGTATACTGACAAACAGAAAAAAAGTTAATTAGGAAGTACATGGAAGCCATGATCGATTCTGGCGCCTTTTAATTTAAGTTCCCAGGCGGCGTGCTTCCGGGCGAATCCGTCGTGATTAATCAATTACTCGCCTATGTTTATTGTTTACCTTTCTATTTCACTGCTGTGTTCTAACCTTCCCTTTTAATTAAACGTGCACACTTATTACTTTTCCAACGTTCCATCTTGTCTGTCTTTTCGGCTACACCCAGCCGAAAAGACTGTTTAAACAGAAACTGGTAGCGTGCTTGTGGCGATTTCCGTATATATCCGTAGGAAATATTTGCTAGGATCCATCATCAACGTGAGTACGTGAGTGATCCATCATGTTGCATGTGTGATTTAATTTCTTGGATGGGTCAATTAAAATTATATTGTAAAGTTTTGCTTTTGTATCCTATACAAAGACCATACATATAAAATTTCGTATGTTTAACTTCTCCTACATAGCATAGGATAACCTATATCGCAGGCTGTGTATGTAAGGTTTGTTATTAATATTTTCTTAAGCATGTCCTGTAGCCTAGTGGCTGGAGTCTTGTCAACATGTGATATCATTAAATTAGGTACATAGTCTATAATGTTTAATGTCGATATTAAATGGTCTCCTAGCCAATCTTTTTTGTTATAGACAACAACTATGTCATCGCTGTGCATCAAACGCGCATTCAAACGCCCCGGATTAGCCTGACGCGTAGACGAGCTTGACGTTTGCAGAAAAACGCGCCCGCAAACTGGTCGCGTCTAATGCCGACTGTGATATTCCGATACGGTCGTGAGAGACCGCCTCGTTATCTCGAAGCGCTGTCTGAAAGAATTCCATTATCATTAAACGAGCAGCTAATTAACTTAGAGCGTGGCTGCGTTTTTTACCCTTCGCCACGTCCCTCCCCTCATTCCTATTCCCCCTCACAACCCGCTTTCTATCCGGACTACTACGACTTCGGAAGGAGTGTTTTTTGCAACTGCATTCGCACGGAGGCCCATGAACGCATAGCGTCGCATAAGATCTTAAACATAACCGGCCTCATGCGATTCTATGTGTGCATTCCAATATGTATTTAAAAAAAAGAAACAGGTAAACAGACATATCTTTAAATTGTGATGTCGACAAGTTGACCCGTCTTGTTAGTCGAATTTCCCAGCTTCCTTTTTACGGTGGTAGGGCCACGCAGCAGCCTCGGCTGTTGCACGAATGGGCAGGCCCGTCCGGGTAGGTACCACGACCTCACAGAAGACCGGCGTAAAGTGGAAGTATAATACTTTCGCGTTTCGTCTGGTGAGTGAGGTGGCCGGAGCCCAATTTTCGAAAGGTTGTCCAACGCATCTGCAACCCTCGGGTGTAGCAGATGTCCACGGGCGGCGTTATTCACTTAACATTAGGTGAACCGCCTGCTCGCTTGGCAACTTTTCAAATAAAAAAACAAGCTTCGCTACATCTCCACATGCAGCTTAGCGGACGGCATGATGGTGTCATCTTCGAGCACCAGCCACGTTGTTTCCCCTGAGTCGACGGGTTGTTCACCCGCCGACCTCTTTCTATGAAGTTGTAAAAGACAAAGGCTAACAACAAACCACCCTGACACCCAAAAACTGATAAGCGGTCAGTTGAAAAAAAAACAATGATTCAGGAACATTATTAAAGTATTGATCATTTGGTAGAGCATGGTGGGTTCTAACTGCCGTAAGGATCGATCCGATCACGACATTGTCGCCTTCAACACGATTTATAAATTGAATACATACATTAGTCGTGCGCATGCTTTGTGCACAGTAACCGAAACATACGTTTTAGTTCTCTTACAGTCCTAAAACTTTTTGTAATTCTAATAGCACATCGAAATTACTAATTATTGGAATGAATCTCTTCCCCATTCAATTCCCTAAAGTGAATGACTTCAAGACACGGTGCATTACAGTCCTTCGATTAGGTCCTGAGCTAGTAAGACTACATTACTACTTATCACTGGGTGAATGAATGTAGGAGCAAGTAGTACAATGTGTAGTACTGCAATGCGTGCGACACGAAGAACGTA